TGCATTATTTCATTTAAGAATCGATTTCAGCAACACCGGACTATGAGGAGAACAGGTAACCATTTTAGCTACTGAACTATAATCCACCGAACGACGAATTCTAGCTAATAATAATTTCTCAATTAACCCCACTAACACCCACTGTTTTTCCTGTATATCTGTTCTATCTCCAAACTTGTTGGATTCCACTGGTCAGTTTATGAGCATTACCAAAATGGAGACACCAAGTAAATACTAAGTGGCGTCATCTTAGAGAAAAAAATGATGCACTGGATGCGGAACTCCACCTACCGGAACAAGCTAAATTGAGGAAAATTAAATCATTTACTAAACAAATAGTAACTTTACTCATCATTATTGAACATAGAATGGAATGATAGTCAAATCTCTATCCAGATTTCATCGAATCTGAAAAGACCTTCAACGGTACCTACCGCAAAATTATTTGGAAACTACTTCAACGCTACAATCATTATTCTTCCCAAAGATTCCGAGTGGAACATAGGGCTTCAGTAAAACATTACCGCTTTGTTTTATTTTCTGCCTTCCTCTTCAGCCGGCTAATCCTACGATTGACCATAATCTCTCGTCTCCTCCAACACTCACGATCTCCTCCATGTCACTCTTGCACCGAAGACTCACTCGTCGCTTCCCATTCAGATTCCACGACAGAGATGGAGTGTATTGAGCGCTATATCATTCGATGGTCCCCTCAACATATGCTCAATCCACTTCCATTTTCTCCTACATATTTGTTAAGCAACTGATTCTTGGTTGGTTTTGTTGGAAATCATTTTCGTGACACGCGGTGCAAGTTTCTGACCCACTTAGAAGAAATGACTTGACATCTGTGTTGAAAATCGGAATCTTGTTCTTTATGCTGAATTAGTGCAGACGAATTACAAACTGGTTTCAGGCTGATGAAGGTGTACCTTACCTTTTCGATTCTGCCTAGAATTGACATCTTCATCCGTTCCGACTGCTAATGGTTGAAATCGTGCTTCCTAGCCGGATAAGTGAAGGAAGTAATCTCTGTCAAATCTCTCTCGTTGATAGTGATTGGTACTGGTTGTTGTTATCGTTGCTTTTAGTTGGATTGATTTTCTTCATCACATGCAAGTCTTCGAGTTTGTGTGACATTAAACGTCAATCACCTGAGAAATCCAGGTCTTCTAGAGTCTTCTTCTCACTCCCCACTCTCAGTATTCTGCATAATCCAGTCCACCACAGTTAAAATTATCATTGTCGGTGATAACAGACAGCCTTGTCTTACACCTGTATTCACCTCAAACGCCTCTGTGAGTCTTACGTTGTGGACCACCTGATGCTATGGCGTGCCCAAAATCTTTATCAATCTCGTTCAGTAACTGTGTGATAACGACACTTGTCAAGTGATCCACAACGGAAAACTCAGAGGAGCGTTTGGAGAGAAAACATGAGTAGGACAAGGCTGCCTACCTCTACTACAACCGATGTTATTCCAAATTGTGGTGGACTGGATTATGCGTCAGATTGCGACTGGACAGAAAGAGGACAGGAATACGCTGTACCGATAAGAAGACTCTAGAAGATGTGGATTTCGCAGATGATTTATATCTGATGTCACACAAACTCTAGGAATTACAGGTGAAAAGCAACAGATTGGCAGAAGATGGAGGCAGCAAAGATAGGATTCCAAGAGCACACAGTGAAGATGGAAATGTTGAAGGCAACCAAACAAAAGCAACAACAAGCAATAATCGCTATCAACGAAATAAAATTTGAAAGAGGCCATTTCCTTCCCTTATCTGACCAGGAAGCATCGTTTCAGCTACAGGCGACAGCATGGATGAGGATATCGAAACCAGAATAGGAAAGTCAAAACACACCCTCGTCTCGCTGAAAGCAGTTTGGCCATATTCTGCACTCCACAGCATAAACGGTAAATATCTGATTTCTAACTCCAATGTTAAGTCGATTCTGCCATATGGTTCAGAAAATTGGTGAGTGCATCACAAAAATCCATTTCCAGCAGAAAGAATCAGCGTGAAGAAACTCAAGGAACAAACCAATCAGCAATCTACAGCTCAACGAGTACGCATTAAAAAATGGAAACGGATCGGACACACAATGAGGAGACCATCAGATTACATAGCGCGCCTAGCTGTCGCTCGAATGAAACCCTAATGGAGAACGAAAAGTTGGGCATGAATCTGAGAGTAACATGAAGGAGGCCATGTGAGTATGAGATGAGAGACTATGGGCAACGGTGGGGTCAGATTAAGAGGACGGCAGAGAACGGGACAAAGTGAAGACGTGCCGTTGAAATCCTATGTTCCACTCGAAACCCATGGGAACAACAATAATAATAATACCAGAATGGAGCGCTAGTAGAGTCTGAGAAAATCAAAAGCAACAGAGATAAAATTTAGGGAAAGAAATGATAATAACCAGCGCTTATTCAGGAACTGACGTCATACGGTAAATAAATTAGTATGTTAGATTAAAATCAGCTCAATGAATTACAATCAGTTAAGACTCATGTAATTAATCCAAAAATAATAATAATAAGTACGTGGGAGACTGATCACACTCTCTTCCTGCATACACACATATCTGATTATATCCACTGTACTTTACTGAACACTGTATGTAATAACATATATAAATTTACAAAATATTATGCTAGAAATAAGCTGAATCTTAGATCGTCTGATGTGATACATGTTCTCTGCTCTCGTGTGGACATTTACATCATATTGACTTCATTTTATCGCGATAACCAACATAACTTTTAGACGGTGTGTAGCTGATGCGAATGTTTAAGGTAAAATGGGCAAAGTTAAACTTTAAGCGAATGACCAATCACGTGGATGAGGCATTTTTGTAAAAGGAATACATATATTTATGAAAAAGATGCATAAATACTGTATAAAAGTTTTATAGAGGATACTTTCCTCTCACATGTGATAAAAATAGCTCTCAGTTTTAGGTTGGAGTATCAATAGAGTATAATTCCATTGTGAATAAAATTTATTTCGATAAAGTCTCACAGTGTTATACAGTGATATTTACTGAGCAATACACTGTGCTCGAAACGTCGTCATCAGTAAATATTACTGTATAACACTGTAAGACTTTATCAAAATAAAAATTTACCCACAATGGAATTATACTCTACCACAGTACACAAGTTCTATTCTTACATCAACAGAGAAATTTAACCACATTCTAGGCACTTAATTATTTAGGTCTTCTAACCTTAACAATAATCCTAATCTTTCCTGAACCTGACACTAACGTGAAAATATCCCTACACTAACTGTAATCTAACTAGGACCAGCCCTTATTTCGCCTTTATTAGGTTAACCTAACCCTTACTTGTCCTTGGCTTAAAGTGCAACTTAATCTTTCTCAAACCTAAGCTGAAACTTGTCAGACATCCCATTTAATAACTTCACATTAATGGGCATATTTTATTGATGATGACAAGATTATTTGCCAGATTTCACTAACTTGCTCAGTGAGCGTTTCAAGGTCATTGGTGCGGTTACGCTCCATCGGTAGTTAGTGGTGCTTAAAGTTTAACTTGGCCGTAAAATGATAACACTAATAATATACTACCAGTTTCCGTCTATTTTACTCTGGAGAAATGTACTCGTGGAACGACAATCATGAGGTAGATTTTATCTAGTCAGGTTTATCTTCAGAAAAGCACTACGGAGTAGTAAGAATGAATATTAATCCAAATCCATTTTCAATATACGAAATCTTACTTCTCAAGTGTTGGATTCCAGAGGATTACATTGATTAATCAAGAACCAGTATTTGTTAGAGAATCATTGAAAACCACGGAACACTAAACAACTGTCTTCACTTCAGTGGTATGTTTCTATGGTGAAAATGATTCTACAAAACGCAAGGTTTTAAAATCAGTCCGATGCCTATTTATAACTGAATACAGGTTTATCTTACTAAAGTCCCAGTAAGATAAACAAAATCAGGATCAAGAAAGGATATTTTAATCGGTATTAAGTACTATTCAGCACAGTCTTCAGTTCCGTTGATATTCATCAGTAAGGGATTTCTTCGATCAAGAAAATGATCATATTCATTTGGAGAACTAATTCCAAAGTCAATGCCTTTATAAATAAGATAACTAAAGCAAGAATTATTTGATGATAACCCAAATTCTTTTTTATTCCTTTTCTATTGCCATTGGGCTTGAAGCATTCTGATGTTTCAGAGGTGGTGGCTTCGCTTTTACAAGGCGATACTTCTAGCCTGACGCATAACCCTCCGTCTCCTTCGGACTCACTACGGGCAGGGCGAGATTTAGGAGTGCACTGGCCAGGAATCGAACTACGACCACCACCACCATAACTGCAGTGCATTCCACGATTAAAGTACCGAATCAATGACCCGATTAATCTTCGCAGTTTAATTTTTCTTGAAATTTGCTTGAAATCTATGGATTATGTGCATAATATAATTACCAAGCTAAGGAATGTGAGACTGTCAGTTCGCGATTCCCTAACACTTAACTCCTAACATCTAACAACATATGTTGGGATCGCCTATACCAGGGCTAATAACAGAAGCCGCTATGTAAAGATTAGAATTAATAGCTCAGGAAATCAACAAACACAGACCAAACATTCAACTGTAATAGCAGTAATCCAATGACTCACATTCGAAACTGTGTGCAGACATTGTTTAAAACAGTGCAAACACACTGCAGAACCCCACAGTTGAAGAGATTAGAAGAGAAATATCTGTGAAACGTCTTCAAGAAGAATGAATACCTACTCAATATCACCCAAATATTTTGATGTGATAGTGTTCTCTGAGCTGGATAGTTTATTTACGAAGCTTTCATGGCCCTACAAGGCAACATCTTCAGCCCTACCATATATAAAGGACATCTCAGAAGTCACTGCAAGACTTTTCAAACCTTCAGGAATTGATGTCGCACACAAACCAACAAAATCACTTCATTTGAGAAAAGTGAAACAATTAGTCCCTTTGATAAATTTGAATAAGGCATTAAGAAGACAAATTTCGCGAGATGATATCATTTCGTAGTTTCTTTACAACCGCTTTACAACTAACATGGTTAACAATAATAAAATAAAGTTCATGACAATTACTCAGTTAAATAAAAACAAAAGTACATACTAATGACCAATCATATTTAGATAGGTCAAGTAGTCCAGGGTAGGCGAAGATTGAAGTCTATTGATTTTTGTACACACAGTTTAGGCTGTATGTGATTAATCCAAAGTGCTTCCATCACCTTCAATAACCTTGAATTAGAGTTATGTGAAATAATTGTAAAACAGTCATTAATATTTATTTTGTGACCTGACATTAATAAGTGTTTTGCAATGGATGATGCTGGATTTCTATTCAGATTACTGGCATTGGGATTTTCTATGTGATTTAGTAGCCATTTTGGAACATGTTCTTTCCGACGACATTGGAACATTCTGTTGGTTCTACCTATATAGGTGTCACCGCAGCTGCAGGTGAACTTGTAGATACAGTTTGAAGTAGAGTCCACAGAATTTCGTCCTTTAATCGTAGGTACAGGGATTGAAAATGTTCGGCAAGTGAGGAAAAGAGATGCGGCGTAGAATGTGCGTTTGATGGCTGACCGGAGTCTTTGAGCTGTCAACTGCATAATCTGATCACCCTTGAATGGTAGGTTAATAAAGATAGCTTTCTTTGGTACCGAAGCTGTCTTTTCGAGATGTGGTCTTTCTTTACTGTGACAAGTGATAAAGTTTTCCGGATAACCATTAGCTAATAAAACTGAATGTATATGTCGAAACTCATCCATCACTGTGTCACTCGTGCATATTTTTCGGGCCCTTGAGAACAAACATTTCACTAGGGAACGTTTATACTGGATAGGAACAAAACTGGTAAAATGAAGATATTGTCCACTCCACGTTTGTTTACGAAAAATAGATCTCTGAATCGTACCATCATCTCTCCTGGTCATTGTAATATCGAGGAAACCGAGTTTGTTATTCGATTCGCGTTCGGAAGTCACTCGGATATTTGGATGAATATGATTAAATAGAGTAATAAAGTTTTCAATAGATTTAATATTATCACCAATAATGAGAGTATCATCTACATAACGTTTATACAGTATAAATTCTCCAAGCATACCTTGCATTTGTTTCTCCAATTTCGACATGAACATATCTGCTAACAGGGGCCCAAGAGGGCTACCCATCGCAACACCATCAATTTGTTTGTATGCCTTTTCTTGAAAGGTGAATCTAATATTTTCTGTACACATTAAGATGATGTCTCTGATGTAAGTTACAGGAATAGGTAAGTTTATCCCACTGCTTGTGATGTAATCGCAAATGAAATCAACAGTTTCATTAAGGGGAACATTGGTGAATAAAGATTCTATGTCAATTGAACACATAACCTTATCCTTGATGTTCAAGGTGTCTAGCGTATCTGTTAGATCAAATGAACTTTTTAGAGAATGATTTGATAATGAGTCTCTTACAGGCGTAAGGACTTCTGTAATCCATTTTGCAATTTTGTGGTATGGAGAACTCGACATGTCTAAGATGGGTCTCAGCGGGTTTCCAGTTTTGTGGATCTTCGGAAGGCCATAAAGCTGGGGAGTATGTGACCCAATTGCTTTAAGTTGTTTATAGAGTTTTTCATCTATAAAACCATGCATCAGTAAAATCTGAAGCTGACGGTTGATCTGCTTTTCCACAAGCAGCACATTATCAGTAGCATTGTCCACCAGAAATTTGGACTGATCTTTGAGGATATCATTCATTTTATTTTGATAATCCGATTTGTTCATAATGACAACGCCTTCTCCCTTATCAGGTTTAAGGATAATAAGATTATCTTTTTCAATTAATTCCTTAAGTGCGGCGTGGTGTTCTTTTGATAAACCATTTTTCTGGTGTATTCTAGCATTTAGAAATTGGTGAGAAATGTCTACCAGTTTAACTTTAAACCAGTCAAGATTATCTTTACTAGAAGGAGTTAAATCGGAGATTTGATCATAAAGGTTTTCATACTGTGACTGAACTTCCATTTTGTTTATTTTCATAGGGATAGTTTTGTACTTCAATCCATAAGATAATGCTTCCAACTGTAGTTGGGATAGAGTGCAGTTAGATAAATTAATTATATGCTTGTGGATATCTTGAGGAAATTCCAAAATATGATTCGTTTCTTTCAAAGATTTTGTTAATTTTTGTTCCGTGGAAATTATAGTCTTTTTTACCATATCATTGCAAAATACAGTGAATTTAATTCGACATACTAAAGATAAATTATCCATAACGGGAATTAGTCTTTGGTGTGTTTCAATAAATTTCGAAAGTTTGTCATTAATTTGATCAATTTCTAATTCAGCAAGATGTTGAAGATTGGAGAGTGAAGATTTTGACTTATTTCGACGTAGTGATTTGTAAAATGATATAGGAAAATTTTTATTTTGGATGCAGTTGCGATAAAACCTTAGTCGTTCACGCTGAATAACAATTTTACATCTCAGATCTAGAAGACGGTTCAGAAGTCTTATAGTATCTTTCGGGAGCCTTCGTTTGAGAAAAGTGAAACAATTAGTCCCTTTGATAAATTTGAATAAGGCATTAAGAAGACAAATTTCGCGAGATGATATCATTTCGTAGTTTCTTTACAACCGCTTTACAACTAACATGGTTAACAATAATAAAATAAAGTTCATGACAATTACTCAGTTAAATAAAAACAAAAGTACATACTAATGACCAATCATATTTAGATAGGTCAAGTAGTCCAGGGTAGGCGAAGATTGAAGTCTATTGATTTTTGTACACACAGTTTAGGCTGTATGTGATTAATCCAAAGTGCTTCCATCACCTTCAATAACCTTGAATTAGAGTTATGTGAAATAATTGTAAAACAGTCATTAATATTTATTTTGTGACCTGACATTAATAAGTGTTTTGCAATGGATGATGCTGGATTTCTATTCAGATTACTGGCATTGGGATTTTCTATGTGATTTAGTAGCCATTTTGGAACATGTTCTTTCCGACGACATTGGAACATTCTGTTGGTTCTACCTATATAGGTGTCACCGCAGCTGCAGGTGAACTTGTAGATACAGTTTGAAGTAGAGTCCACAGAATTTCGTCGTTTAATCGTAGGTACAGGGATTGAAAATGTTCGGCAAGTGAGGAAAAGAGATGCGGCGTAGAATGTGCGTTTGATGGCTGACCGGAGTCTTTGAGCTGTCAACTGCATAATCTGATCACCCTTGAATGGTAGGTTTATAAAGATAGCTTTCTTTGGTACCGAAGCTGTCTTTTCGAGATGTGGTCTTTCTTTACTGTGACAAGTGATAAAGTTTTCCGGATAACCATTAGCTAATAAAACTGAATGTATATGTCGAAACTCATCCATCACTGTGTCACTCGTGCATATTTTTCGGGCCCTTGAGAACAAACATTTCACTAGGGAACGTTTATACTGGATAGGAACAAAACTGGTAAAATGAAGATATTGTCCACTCCACGTTTGTTTACGAAAAATAGATCTCTGAATCGTACCATCATCTCTCCTGGTCATTGTAATATCGAGGAAACCGAGTTTGTTATTCGATTCGCGTTCCTATCTAAATATGATTGGTCATTAGTATGTACTTTTGTTTTTATTTAACTGAGTAATTGTCATGAACTTTATTTTATTATTGTTAACCATGTTAGTTGTAAAGCGGTTGTAAAGAAACTACGAAATGATATCATCTCGCGAAATTTGTCTTCTCAATGCCTTATTCAAAATCACTTCACTCAATTCTATCTCCACCAAAATACTTAACAGCGAAAGAAGATAAAACCAACATCATCTACAAAATAAATTATAACAACTGCGAAAAACACTGCATTGGCCAAAGTGGACGTCCCCTTCGTCTTTATATCTACGAACATAAGCTAGCCATCAAAAGACATGACATCCACTCCCTCATATTGATGCATACAGACAACCACGGGCGTCAATTCGATATTAGACAGAGAAAACACCAGGAATGCTAGAGAATATTTAGAAGCCTGGTATTCCAGTGAATCGGCAATTCATACATACATTGACAAAGACAAGATTTGCCAATCGATAAGAATGAAATCTACACACACAGGGTTAAACTTCAGGTAAAAGAAACAATCAGTTCCAATACAAGTAGCCTAAAGGGTGTGAAAACGCACAAAGGCAAACAATCACGTTCAAGGTCACTCACCAGGAGAGATTACTAATAACACGTGAAGAAATCTGAAAGCTCACCTCGACGTATTGAATTGTGCGCTGAAGATGTTGCCTAGTAAGTAGAGCAATGAAAGCTTCGCAAATAAACTATTCAACTCGAAGAACACAGCAACATCAAAATCATCCACATGAGCTAAAAATCCTCTCCATCATGTCACCAAAATATATTTCAACTCAAATGGAAACATTAACAAGAAAAGAACGTCAAAAACCAGAAGACAAAAATTGATCAACCATACATAAAGAATATCTCTGTGAAATAACGGCCAGAACACTCAAATTTGTGAAACAGACATAGAACATCAGGCAATACACAATCACTTCATTCAACATTGCGCATACCAGAAGAAGGTTACATCAATACCGTATACAAAATAAATTGCATGAACTGTGACAAACACTACATTAGTCAAAGTAAGCTCCTCCTACGAATCTGAATCAAAGAACATAAATTAGCGGTCAAAAGACACGATATGTGTTCTCCCACATCAATCCATGTAGACAACCACAGAAACCAATTTATTTGAGAGAATGTGGAGACTTTTAAAAGAGGAAACATCAAAAATGGCAGGGAATTTCTAGAAGCCTGGTGCTCAAGTTGACTGGCGATTAATAAACACATTACTATAGATCAAATTCACTAAAGAATATATCACATGGCGAGAAAGTTTAAATTCCGAGTCAGTAAAAATCCTCAATATGAACTGACAACCAATCACAACAGCGGTTGCCAGGGGATACAATTTTATCTCTCATGGTGAATTCAAACAAGTTGAGTTTATATTAAAGCCTACGCTGCAGCTATTTTGTCTAGAAGGACAACGAAAGCTTCCCAATGAAATCAGCCACCTCAGAGAACACAACCAAATCAAGATTAGTAGCACTAATGAAAGAAGGCTTATTTTCTTACTACCCAAATAGAGCAATAGTGGACAGATAAAAAAACAACGGCGAGTTATTTGTAATGAATTCTAGTCAGTTAATGGATCAACTAATTACGTCACTTAGTAAGTGGATAATCTGACAGGCATTTAACTCAGCAAAATAATGAAAATAACCACAAATACTACTGATACATTCCTTTCCACCTAATGGGATTAGTCTTAAAATGAAACGGACTGATTACGTAATCGGTAGACTGATTTAATTTTTATTCGTGAGACTGAATTCGTTTGCGTATTTTTTTTCCATGTGTAAATTTCGACTAATTCATTCACAGTGATACGGGCGTCTGCTTTCCTTGGCACTGTTAAAATCACCTGACTTCTTGATATTGCTACTCCATTCTGTTCCAGTGCATAAGAAAAATCTGAGAACTGTGGAGAAAACAATTTTTCATTCCAATAAGGATTTTCAAAAGTTTCATCATGTATCGATATTAGTTAGAGAACCACCACTGAAAACCACCTAGGAGTAGTGGACAGCTGTTTCGTCCCAGTTTTGGATTCATTGCCAGTAAGAACCCACCGGGTTTTGAATTAGATCCCGATAAATAAACTCTTGAAAATTATTCTGCTGCTCGCTAGTGACTGGATACAACACGAGGTGGGATGCAGTCCCAATCAGATGTTATGACCGGTAGTGGGATCCGTTCTGTCGGAAGTAAGGACAAATACTTGCTAGCGATGCCATTGGCTGGTGCCAATCACGTTAAAACCACGAACTGGTAGAAGTTAAAATTCATAGGCTTGCCATTCAATCGGCTCCCAGTGACTGAATTGTCTACGAGCTTTCCTTGTAACCGGGAGATCCTGGGTCAGAAACTCTTTGAGTGCGTACTGTCGAAGAGTACCAAACTAGGACAAAACAGCTATCCAATACTTCCTGGTTCTCTAACTGATACTAGTAGGGATTAATTTTCGCAAAAAAGGTTTATGCTCCTATGCATCAAACTTATTTTAAAGTCAGTCATTAGAATTTTACACCCTAGATAGTGTAGATCAACAGCTGTGAAGCTAGAATACAATCTACATTTGAATAGGAAAATGAACAAGGAGAATTATCTATGACATTACATTGTAAAATAAAACGAATAGAAGAAGGTAGACTGCATACTAGTGTTTATAAAAACCAACGCATTCTAAAAGATATTTATACTTAAATTCATCTCATCTGTTATCCGTAAAGGCAGGCTTAGTTAAGTGTCTAACAAACCGAGCAATGGAACTAAGCAGTACAACAAAAAACCTAAATGGTGAAATAAAACAGATAGAAGAAGAAGCGTTGGTGTTGAATAACTAACTATCCTATAAAATTCACTAGGAATATCAAAAAAGGTCAAAAGTAAAATAAAAATAATGGTGAAACTAGTAATGACAACATAAATAAGAGAGAATATAAGGCATCTACTGTTATACCATTTAAGGAGGGGACATCGGAGACCATACGTAGGATTCTTAACAAAGCAGGAATTACAGTGGCATTTAAAGCTACAAACTCACTCAGGGAGGACAAACTCTGTAGGTTAAAGGACCCTGTCGGTGGACTTAATTAGACAAAATAATATTATTTAAAAAGTACCTTGCAATGACTGTGAGTGAAGTCAACCACATAGGTCAAACTAGTAAATCGGGGGTAGTCAGATTGTCGGAACATAAGAATTTAGCTAAGGTTAGAATGGCTGACCCAGCAAAGATAAGTAATTTAGAAAAAAGCTCAGCAATTGCCCTTCACGCATTAACAAACAACCACACAATAGGATGGGTTAGGGCTAAAATTCTAAAGAGTAACATAGGTAGGTGGAGAGAGAGGTTGATTACGGAATCCTTGTTCATTGAGTTTACACAACCAACATATGCAACAGAAATGACTCAATGCAAACACCAGAAATATGGAAGATATTATTACCGTCAATCAAATCAGAAGAGAATAATAAATAATCTTAATATTCTCTTTCAATTCAAGCACAACACAACATTCTAAGAAGTAACTTATTATGACTATAAAAACACTCATTTTATTTCCCATCTAATTTTAATTGATCAATGTCACTCGTGTTATTATTTCTGAATGTACATTATCTCATATTGAATTTTATTCCAATATCTAATCGATTCCACACATGTATATAAATGAAAGAAAAAAGTTGTGAGTAACTTGATATGATTATGAGCAATAATTTGTGCTCGAAACGTCATCAGTTAACATTACTGTATAACACTGTGTGATTTATCAAAATAAAATCTTATCTATAATGGAGTTATACTCTACCACAGTGCCTAAATTTTACACTTATATGAAGCTAGAACTCGGTTAAACACAGGGCTGATGATACCACTCGATTATCCAGGTAGAAATAGGTGAAGGGGGATCTGAACGGCGTTAGCCATCATCGGGAAGTTGAAATCTTAAGGCACTGAACTGCAGCTTCAAAATTCTTTTGAAAATGTAAAAAACTTTTCTTTATGAACTTTTTCAGTGTATATTGTTTGAATAAAAGCTAACTAATCCATTCCTTCCTTTTTTATCGTTGTGAACCGTGACCACTGAAAATGGAAGACATGAAGAGGTTGATGGTTTTTGACTATAGATGTCTGCGTCCTGTCAGTCATGTTAGGTGGTACAATGCAATTAGTAATAAGGAGGTTAGGTAAAGACAGATATCTACTATACATGCCTAGCTATCTCCTTCTGAATCCAACGAGGTTAGCTAACATAAGATTAGGTTAGAGAAGAGTTAATTATAGCCATATCAAAATATTGCACCAAACCATGAAGACTTCCGCTGTTGCTTTGAACCATATGAGCAGGTGTACACTTCCTTAAATGAAGTTGGTGAAACATGCCACAAATTCATTCAGTCTTTAAGAAGTTTCATTTTCTAAATTCATCTAGAGCTTTTTTTGAAGTTACTCAATGAGAACTGCAGCAGTTCTACTCTGGGAACTTATTTGATTCTGAATAAACACAACTCAATGATGTACTCAACTAAAAGTATTATGCATGCACGAGAATAACCCGGTAATATACCTTTTAGTTCAAATATCGATAAATTTTCCCGCTTTCTTTTACAAAATTGAACAATGACTGACAAGTAAGATGAATTACAAACTCTTAATGGGATACAACAACACGTAAATGAAAGGAACATGAGATAATTTTGATCGATTACTGAACAATCAATACAATCTAATGGAATTGATTACAATAAAATGAATGTTACACGAAGACAAAAGAAAGTGATAGGTCTAACGAATAGGCAAACAAACCATTAAGGGAGTTAAGAATGGAACATTATTAGCCTATCAGTCTACAAAGTTACTTCCTTTTATATTTATGCAAACTGAAACCC